GTTCACGTGGGTACAGTGCAGGGGGTCACGTGGGTACGGTACAGGTGTTCACGTGGGTACAGTACAGGGGGTCACGTGGGTACAGTACAGGGGGCCACGTGGGTAGGGTACAGGGGTCACGTGGGTATAGCCCAGGGGGTCACCTGGGTACAGTGCAGGGGGTCACGTGGGTACAGTGCAGGGGGCCACGTGGGTAGAGCACAGAGGCCCCTCCCTCTCAGGTAGCCACTGCAAGAAGGGGAGGCACTACGTCAGTATCTTTCTATCACTTATCAGACAGATCAAAGGCTTTTAGGATTCCTCTATTCTTACTTCTCACAGCCTCTAAGAATTTACAAGGGAGCATCGGGTGGGAAAGTGGAACATGAAGGTGGACAAGGATGGTGACGGCCGGAGCACAGCACCGCGGAGAGGCGTTTAAGCCCCTGGGTGTCTGTGGACGGCCTGGCCAGGGTCAGACCTTCCTCAAGGGCAGGCAGAGCAGACTGTTCTCTGAACTCCCCAGTGAGAGGGAAACTCCCCCTCACAGCCTGCTAAGTAGCGCGCACCTTCCCAGAAGCTGGCCCTACTGCAAGGCGTTTACTCTCGCCTCCTGGTCACCTCTGACAGTGTCCCTTCAGTTCTGAATTACATTTCACTCGATTATGTCCATACTATAAGACTACAATGTTCCTACACTCTAATACTAAAGATTCATAAAGAATAACGATGTAATAAGATTGACCCTGGGCCGGGCGCGGTGGCTCACGCCTGTAATCCCAGCGCTTCGGGAGGCCGAGGCGGGTGGATCACGAGGTCAGGAGTTTGAGACCAGCCTGGCCAACATGGTGAAACCTCGTCTCAAAAAATAAATAAATAAAAAGATTGACAGTGTGACTGATTATGTGATTGAATCTAATATCTATTTGGTGTCATTTCCATAACTAAGTAATCAGTAAATATATCATTGCTATAACTACTCAATTATTTATAATTGGTATCATTGCTCTAAGTAAACAGACATTTATTTATTTATTATTATTATTTTTTAAAAGACGGGGTTTCACCATGTTGGTCAGGCTGGTCTTGAACTCCCGATCTCAGGTGATCCGCCTGCCTTGGCCTCCAACGTGCTTGGATTACAGGCGTGAGCCACCGCGCCCGGCCATCGGTTATCTATTATACTGGGACAGATTGTGTCTTCTGTCTCCTGCTGTGGCACCTGGACAACTTTCTTCCCACAGTATACAGCTGGTGCTCTATAAATGTGGCTGCAGCCAAGTCCGGTCTCCCTGCTGGAAGCCAAGCCCCCCAAAGATATGGTCTCCCCTGACCTGACGTCCCCCGACTCCCGACTTGAAATAGGGCTGTGTATACAGCAGGTGCAAAGTGCACGATGGTGATGTCAGGGCAAGGTGGGAACCCTTGACTGGGTAGCGTGTGTCTGATTAAGCTGAGGACACAGTGGACATGGATTGAGCGCCTGCTGTGTGCCAGGCTCTGGGGGAGCAGGGCCGACGATCCCCTTCCCCGAGAGCCAGGAGGGTCCACATGCCTCCAGCCCCGCCCAGGCCCTGCATGTCCCCGGGTGCCCCCGCCCCGCCTGTTCCCGGAGACGGACCCGTTGGTTCCCTTCCCCACCCCTTGTCCCGGAGCCAGGAGGACGTTGGTTCTTACGACAGCCTTGGTCGGGCCGTTGCAGTGGGAACGCTGCGTGGGTGACGGGAAGAGGAACCGGGGCTGGAGCCTGGGAATCCCATCCCCGCAGCTGGGGCTCCGGCTCTCCTGCCAGTTCTTCCAGGTGGAAGCTGTCAGGCTTGGGTAACGGTCCTCGCCCCAGCCTCTGGGCCTGGGCACCCAGCCAGCACCCCTGCCAGATGGCCACCCAGGCCCTGGCTCAGGAGGCGAGGGTACCAGGGAAGCTCAGCAAGGTGGAAGGGCGGGAGAGAGTCTCAGAGCCTCAGCTGGTGTCCGTGGGCTGACCGTGAGCCCGGGTGGGAGTGAGTTCCCATTGTCAGCAACAGCCGGGGAGAGGGAGAGAGGCCGGGCCTGGGAGTGAGCCCCGAGGTTCAGGGAGCAAGGCTGGAGGGAGCCAGCCCCAAATCTCCGTCCGGCTGTGGGTCCCAGAGCCCTGGGCTAAACAAGCGGCTCATGGGGAAGGCCCTTGATGTGCCTCGGTTTCCTCACCCCAAACGGGAACCCTGGGAAAGGTCAGGGAAGTGCCTGGTGCACTGTGAGTGCCCGACACAGCTGCACGTTGCTGTTACCACAGTGCCCTGGGTAAACTGAGGCAGGCGAGGGCAACCCCTGTCAAGGCCCCTCAGCACTAGGTTTGACAGGTTTGGCAGAAACACAGCAATGCTCAGTTAACTTTGGATTTCCAGTAAGTCTATCCTGGGCATCATTTGAGGCAGGTTGAGATTTTAAAACGTCGAGACCAGTGCGGCCAACACAGTGAAACCCCATTTCTACTAAAAATACAAAAAATTAGCCAGCCTCGGTGGCTCACACCTGTAACCCCAGCACTTTGGGAGGCTGAAGTGGGTGGATCCCCCGAGGTCAGGAGTTCGAGACCAGCCTGATCAACATGGTGAAACCCCGTCTCTACTAAAAATACAAAAATTAGCCGGGCGGGATGGTGGGCGCCTGTAATCTCAGCTACTCAGGAGGCTGAGGCAGGAGAACTGCTTGAACCCGGGAGGCGGAGGTTGCAGGGAGCCGAGATTGTGCCACTGCGCTCCAGCCTGGGAGACAGAGCGAGGCTCGGTCTCCAAATACGTAAAACCATGTTGACTCCCTGACATTCAAATGCAATTGTGAGTCCTGAATTTTGTCTGGCGGCCCCTCTGGAGCCAACCCCAGCCTCTTGTCCCCCTTACCCCCCTTCTCATCAACCCCCTGTGCCAGGGGAGAGGAAGTGGGGGTGCCAGCCAGCTGTGGGGCAATGCAACGGACTCCTGGCACAGAGCTATAAGAGAAGCCAGGCTGGCAAGAAGGGGCAGAGACCCCAGAGCCCCAGCCCACCATGACCCTCGGCCGCCAACCCTCCTGCATCTTCGTCGCCCGCGTCCTGCTGGCCTTGCTGCTGGGGGGTGAGTCTGCGTGTCCATCCTCTCGCTGCTCCGTCTGTCCCGGGTGTCCGCTCCCACCTCTCCACGCGGACCCCACATCCTCACGGGGGAGGTGCCAGTTGGGACGAGGAGACCAGAAGAAGAGACTGAGGTTCTGAGTGGCAAAGACACACCAGGAGCCCAGAGCTGGGGTTTGCAAACCTGGGGGTCACTGGGCACCCTTTGGGTTCAAGTCCAGATTCAGCTGTGCCTTGGCAAGGGGACCATGGGCAGTTCCCTTTGCCGCTCTGTGCCTCAGTTTCCTCATCTGCACATCAGGCGTGTGAACAGCCCTGATCCCACAGGTTCCTGGTGGGGGATTCAGGGGCCCCATGGCTGGGAACGGAGGGGCTCCTTGGCTGGCACTCAGCACCCCCACCCTGTGCGTCCCCAGGCCCCGCGCTGGCCTCGGAGATTGTGGGGGGCCGGCCAGCCCAGCCCCACGCCTGGCCCTTCATGGTGTCCCTGCAGCGGCGCGGGGGCCACTTCTGCGGCGCGACCCTGATCGCCCCCAACTTCGTCATGTCCGCCGCGCACTGTGTGAACGACGTGTGAGTAGCCAGGAGCGCAGGTGCCTGCTCAGACCCCCCACCCGCGCCCCGGCGTGTGAGATGGGTGGGGGTGAGGCCGGCGCCCCGGGGCTGCTGGGACGCCTATCCTGGGCCTGCAGGGACCCCACAAGCCCCTTCCCCATCAGGCCCATCAGGGCTGGGGACGACAAGGCGAGGCTGAGCCCTGACCCCCCAGGGCGGCCCCCTCACCTCCGCACCTCCCTCCCCTGCAGAAACTCCCGCTCGGTGCAGGTGGTGCTGGGCGCCCACGACCTGCGGCGGCAGGAGCGCACCCGCCAGACCTTCTCCGTGCAGCGCGTCTTCGAGAACGGCTTCGACCCCACGAGGCTGCTCAACGACATCGTGATTCTCCAGGTGCCGCTGGACGGGGCGGAGAAGGGAGGCCCAGAGTGGGGGCACCCGGGTGGAGGCCAGAGGCTGGAGAGGGTGGAGGCAGAGACAGAGACAGAGGGGCACATCAGGGGCCGCTTGTGGGGACCTGGCGTGGAATCTGGGCTGCCGTGGACGAGGTCGCCCCCTCTCTGTGCCTCGGTCTTCATTCGCCAGGGACTGTCGGCGGATTAAATGAGATAAAGCAGGGAAGCACTGATCTGCTGTCAATCAACAAACTTATTGTGACTCTTGGGGTCTCTGCATTCACCAGCCCTGTGGCCGAGGGCAGGGACCATCTCTGTCTTTGGGAAATGGGGCAAAAGTCCCCACGTTTCCATCCCTGTCCCTGGCTCACAGGTATGATGATTCTCTGCGAGGGTTAGAAGGAGAGTCTGATCGTCAGTGTTCCCATAGCTGTCACCCAGCGCAGTGACGCGATCCTGGCTCACTGCAGCCTCCACCTCCTGGGCTCAAACGGTCCTCTTACCTTGGCCTCCAGGGTAGCTGGAACCACAGGTGCACGCCACCACTTCCGGCTGATTCTTTTTTTTTTTTTTTTTGAGCTGGAGTGTTACTCTGTTGAGTATTCCAGGCTGGAATACAGCAGGGTGATCTCAGCTCACTGCAGCCTCCGCCTCCCGGGTAGCTCAGATTACAGGTGCCTGCCACCATGCCTGGCTAATTTTTGGAATTTTTAATAGAGATGGGGGTTTCACCATGTTGGTTGGGCTGGTCTTGAACTCTTGATATCAGGTGATCCGCTCCCCTTGGCCGCCAAAGTGCTGGGATTACAGGCATGAGACACTTCGGTCTAATTTTTTTTTTTTCCTTTGAGAGGGAGTCTCACTCTGTCACCCCGGCTGGGGTGCAGTGGCATGATCTCGGCTCACTGCAACCTCCGCCTCCCGGGTTCAAGCCATTCTACTGCCTCGGCCCCCTGAGTAGCTGGAACTATAGGCAAGGGCCACCACACCCAGCTAATTTTTGTATTTTTAGTACAGACAGGGTTTCACCGTGTTGGCCAGGATGGTCTCGAACTCCTGACCTCAGGTGATCCTCCCACCTTGGCTTCTCAAAGTGCTGGGGTTACGGCCATGAGCCACCGCCCCTGGCATTTTGTTTTTATTTTGTAGACATGGGGTTTTGCCACGTGGCCCAGGCTGGTATTGAACTCCCGGCCTCAAGTGATCCTCCTGCCTCAGTCTCCTAAAGTGCTGGGCTTACAAGCATGAGCCACCGTGCCCAGCCATAGTTTTCTTTATTAACTGAGCACCTACTGCTTCCTGCACTCAAGCTGCATCCAGGGACAACCTCCAACACCTGAGCCTTGGTAGCTGCTCCCACTCTGTAGATGGGGAAACTGAGGCTCAGGTTGGGGAACAGATTGAAAGGTGGGTGTCCTGCTCTGCAGGATCCCAGAACCACAGTGGAGTCTGAGATGGGGAAACTGAGGCTCGGGTTGGGGAGCAGATTGAAGGGTGGGTGTCCTGCTCTGCAGGATCCCAGAACCACAGTGGAGTCTGAGATGGGGAAACTGAGGCTCGGAACAGGGAAGGTCATCAACACTGCCCCATGTGATGTGCTGGTGATCTGTCCCTGCCCCCCGCTCCCTACCACAGCTCAATGGGTCGGCCACCATCAACGCCAACGTCCAGGTGGCCCGGCTGCCAGCCCAGAACCAAGGCGCGGAGAATGGGGCACAGTGCCTGGCCATGGGCTGGGGCCAGCGGGGCACCCACAGTCCCGTTGCCAACGTCCTGCAGGAGCTCAACGTGACGGTGGTGACGTCTGGCTGTCGCCGCAGCAATGTCTGCACGCTCGTGAGGCGCCGGCGGGCCGGCATCTGCTTCGTAGGTGCCTGGGTGTCCCTCTGCTCCCCACGCACCCCCCACTCCTGGCCCTGGCCCAGACCGCAGCCACAGGCACCGAAGCCAGACCCTAGGAGGGATCACGGGGTCCCTCCCCAACCCTGAAGGGAGGGCCGGCATCTGCTTTGTACATTCCCTGGGTGTCCCTCTGCTCCCCACCCATTCCTGGCACCAGACCCTAGGCTTCCCAACCCCGATAGGCAGCGGGTGGGCGGGCAGGAAGCCTGGCGGTCCAGCCTCCCCACCTTGTCTGCCTCCACAGGGGGACTCCGGCGGCCCCTTGGTCTGCGACGGGCTCATCCAGGGAATCGACTCCTTCATCCGGGGAGGCTGTGGCTCCGGGTTCTACCCCGACTTCTTTGCCCCGGTGGCTCAGTTCGCAGACTGGATCAACTCCATCATCCGACGCTCCGAGGACCACCCCCGCCCCCACCCCCAGGACCCGGCCGGCAGGACCCAGTGAGAAGCTCGGCCCGCGTCAGCTCAGCTGGACACAGCTGTCCTCTCCAGCAGCTGGGACAATAAACATCGTCTGTTTTGTAAACTGTGTCTGAGATTTCTCGGCTGTGTGACTGGGTGTGGGAAATGGTCAGCAGGCCGGACGCGGTGGCTCACGCCTGCAATCCCGGCACTTTGGAAGGTTGAGGCAGGCGGATTACTTGAGCTCAGAAGTTTAAGAGCAGCCTGGGCACTATAGCAAGACACTGCCTCTATTAAAATAAGTAAATAAGATAAAATTTTATTTATTCTGAGCCAGTCCTGGTGGCTCACACCTGTAATCCCAGCACTTTGGGAGGCCGAGGCCGGCAGATGACCTGAGGTCAGGAGTTCGAGACCAGCCTGGCAACATGGTGAAACCCCATCTCTACTATAAGTATTAAAAAATTAGCCAGGTTGGCAGGGCGCAGTGGCTCACGCCTGTAATCCCAGCACTTTGGGAGGCCGAGGCGGGTGGATCATGAGGTCAAGAGATCGAGACCATCCTGATCAACATGGTGAAACCCCGTCTCTACTAAAAATACAAAAAATTAGCTGGGCATGGTGGCGCGTGCCTGTAATCCCAGCTGCTCAGGAGGCTGAGGCAGGAGAATTGCCTGAACCCAGGAGGCGGAGGTTGCGGTGAGCCGAGATCGTGCCATTGCACTGCAGCCTGGGTCACAAGAGCGAAACTCCGTCACAAAAAAAAAAAAAATTAGCCAGGTTGGCCGGGCGTGGTGGCTCACGCCTGTAATCCAAGCACTTTGGAGGCCAAGGCGGGCGGATCACCTGACGTCCGGAGTTTAAGACCAGCCTGAGCAACTTGGTGAAACCCCGTCTTTTATTAAATAAATAAATAAATAAAATGAGCCAGGTGTCGTGGCATGTGGGAGGCTGAGGCAGGAGAATTGCTGGAGCCTGGGAGGTGGGGGCTATGGTGAGCCGAGATCGCGCCACTGCACTCCAGCCTGGGCGACAAAGAGAGACTCCTTCTCAAAATAATAAATAAATAATGTCAAATAAAATGGTCAATAGACTGTCTTGGGCATCACTGAAGTGAGCTGCCCGCCAGGTGGCAGCAGAGCCAGGGCATTGGGGCAAGAGGGCAAGAAGTGAGTCTTCCTCTTCCTCACATTCTTTCTTTTTCTTCTTCTTCTTCTTCTTCTTTTTTTTTTTTTTGTTTGTTTTGAGACGGAGTCTCGCTCTGTCGCCCAGGCTGGAGTGCAGTGGTGCGATCTCGGCCCACCGCAACCTCCGCCTCCCGGGTTCAGGCGATTCTCCTGCCTCAGCCTCCCAAGTAGCTGGGATGACAGGCACGCGCCACCACACCCGGCTAAGTTTTGCATTTTCAGTAGAGATGGGGTTTCACCATATTGGCCAGGCTGGTCTTGAACTCCTGACCTCGTGATCTGCCCACCTCGGCCTCCCAAAGTGCTGGGATGACAGGCGTGAGCCCCCGCGCCCTGTCCCTCTGTTTCTGTTTTACTGCAGATAGGGTCTTGCTCTTTCGTCCAGGCTGGAGTGTGGTGATGCAATAATAGTCCATTGCAGCCTCTGCGACCTCCCGGTTCGAGTGATCCTCCCGCCTCAGCCTCTGGAAGTGCAGGGACTGCAGGCCGGGCTGCGGTTAGCTGCATTTTTCACAGCTTCCCCACCAGGCTCCAGCTGCTCACCATAATGACCCTCTGTCTTTCTATTCCATTTTCCTCTTTTTTTTTTTTTTTTTTTGAGCGGAGTTTCGCTCTTGTCACCCAGGCTGGAGTGCAATGGCGCGATCTCGGCTCACCGCAACCTCCGCCTCCTGGGTTCAGGCAATTCTCCTGCCTCAGCCTCCTGAGTAGCTGGGATTACAGGCACGCGCCACCATGCCCAGCTAATTTTTTGTATTTTTAGTAGAGACGGGGTTTCACCATGTTGACCAGGATGGTCTCGATCTCTTGACCTTGTGATCCACCCGCCTCGGCCTCCCACAGTGCTGGGGTTACAGGCTTGAGCCACCGCGCCCGGCCTCCATTTTCCTCTTAACACACCCAGAGAGCTCTCCACATCAGCAGGGCACCCGGAGACGTTCGGGTTAGTGGCCGAGCCGCCCCTTCTTGCTGGGGCCCTGCCTGTTGCCACATCTTGCTGTCACAATTTCCAGCATTCTTGTTTAATAATCTGGACTCTGTATCCTCCAGGCTTTGTTCAGAGTTTCTGACTTTGTCAAGGAGACATGCTAGGATCTCAGCAATCATATGTGTGACCTCATTTTCTATTCTCTGTGAGTATGAGATACTCACCGGGCCTGGTGTCTTCTGCCTGTGACTCTAGCATTTTGGGAGGCAGAGGTGGGTGGAGCACCTGAGGTCAGGAGTTCGAGACCAGCCTGGACAACATGGTGAGACCCCCCCCACTCTACTACAAATACAAAACTTAGCCAGGTGTGGTGGCGGGTGCATGTTATCCCAGCTACTTGGGAGACTGAGGCAGGAGAATCGCTTGAACCCGGGAGGCGGAGGCTGCAGTGAGCTGAGATGGTGCCGTTGCACTCCAGCCTGGGCAACGAGAGCAAAATTCCATCTTAAAAATAAATAAATAAGGCTGGGCGCGGTGGCTCAAGCCTGTAATCCCAGCACTTTGGGAGGCCGAGGAGGGTGGATCACGAGGTCAAGAGATCGAGACCATCCTGGTCAACATGGTGAAACCCCGTCTCTACTAAAAATACGAAATATCAGCTGGGCATGGTGGTGCGTGCCTGTAGTCCCAGCTACTCAGGAGGCTGAGGCAGGAGAATTGCCTGAACCCAGGAGGCGGAGGCTGTGGTGAGCCAAGATCGCGCCATTGTACTCCAGCCTGGGTAACATGAGTGAAACTCCGTCTCAAAATAAATAAATAAATAAATAAATGATCCATGGTGGAGAGAAAAGAAGGAAGGGGAAAATCCTGTGTGCTGCTCCCCCTGGGGATGATGTCTGAAGTCCTCCCCACCATGGGCCCGCCATTCCCATCTCACAGATTCTGAGAAGTATTTTAATTTTTTTGCAGAGATGGGGGTCTCACTATGTTGTTCAGGCTGGCCTCAAATTCCAGGGCTCAAGCTACCCTCCTATCTGGGCGTCCCAACATGCTGGGCTGGTAGATGGGAGCCACTGCCCAGCCAGCCCTGATTCTGTTCATCAGAACCTGCCCTCAGTGAACAATTTGGGAATAGGCATTTGATCCAGGCTCTGCCAACCGAAGGCAACCTTGAGACTTGGCTAGAGTGATGAGGAATTTTAGGAGGGGCCCACTGAGCCACTGGGTTGAGTGTGGGTTCCCTGGAAGCGTAATAGGGGAGGCTGGTGAGGAGAGAGGCCATCGGAGAAGAAAGGAGAAGCCAGAAGCAGACACCAGACATTGTTCAGGCAGCTGGATCACACCACACCTGAAGGCGGCCATCCCTGAGCTTTCTATACAATGTTCGTGATTCCAGCTCCACCCAGTTTGTCTGGGTTTCCCTGTCCCTTGTAGCCAGTCTTCCCAGCTGCCTGTGCGTTTGCCGTTCCAACATTCTGCTCGTCCGGGCGTCAAGCCCCGGAGGCCACAGGGACAGAGACAAGAGTGTCACGTGACCTTCCTCCCACACCCATCAGAGCTTCTCTCCAGTTTGGAGGAGGAGGAGGAGAAGGGAGGGGTGGGAGGATGAGGAAGTGGGTTGTTTACACACTGGCTTCCAACTAGGATTTCGAAACAAGCAGGAGGGACTCCGGGTCTGGTGAAGTTGGGGCCGGGGGGCTGGGGTGGGTGCAGCCCCCTCTCTGCTTCCTGCCCATCTGAGGGACTGCCCCGCACCAGGGCCAGCAGGCCAGCAGGTTCACGGAGGCCAGAGGGTCTCCCAGCAACCTGTTGCCTCTGGTGTGAGTCTGGCAGGAGGTAACCCAGCCCCCAGGAGGGTGGAGGCTGGGAGGGCGGGTCCCCCTTTCTCCAGCTGGACCACTGCCCACCTGACAGTCAGGGCTCCCGGGAGCCTCCCGCCCCCTCCGCCGTCATAAAAGCACCCCCAGGGCCCCGCCTGGGTCAGTGTGTCCACCACAGCGGCTTCACCATGCACAGCTGGGGGCGCCTGGCGGTTCTGGTCCTCCTAGGAGTGGTGGCCTGTGGTAAGGGGTCCTGGGCCTGGAGTGAGGGGCGGGGGTGCCCCAGGTGGCCCTCTCGGTCACACAGACGGTCCTCCAGCCCCACCAGGTAGGCAGGAAGAGAGGGGTGTCATTCTTCACCAATGAAAGGCTCTGAAAGCCGAGGAATTCTAGAAACTTTGGTTTGGAAATTGGAGCTTTCTGGGGTCAGCTTTTCTTGCAGAGAGAATCTGAGTGTCTGCGTGGAAAACTGTTCTTCCGTGCGGCTGGCTGAGCTGCCCGGGGCACTGTAGGTAACCCCCTATCTTGGCACCAAGGAAGGAGAGCTGAGTAGATCCCGGGCACAATTAGTGCCTGAAGAATATATATAAAAGGAAGTCACTGAGCAGGCCGGGCGCGGTGGCTCACGCCTGTAATCCAAGCACTTTGGAGGCCAAGGTGGGCGGATCACCTGAGGTTGGGCGTTCAAGACCAGCCTGACCAACATGGTGAAACCCCATTTAAAAAAATAATAAAAGGAAGTAACTGAGTAATAAGGTATTCTTCAGGCACGAATTGTTCCGACTATAAACTAATACATGATTTTATATATGTAAAGGATTACATGAAGGAAATAACTGAGTAATAACACTATAAACTAAGACATTCTTCAGGCACTACGTGTGCTGGGAACTGCTTAGCTCTCCTTCCTTGGTGCCCAGATGGGGGGTTGCCCACAGGGCACTGGTTGGGTCAGCCCTATTTCTGTTACGTCCAGTTGGAAGCCATTGCACCCAGGGTGGAGAGCTGGGATCTGTCCCTGGTCCCAGGCCCACTGTGGCTTCTGTCCTCCCGGGCGTTCTGGCCCCCAGGGCATCTGAGTCTGTGACGCTGAGGAACCCCAAGATGCAGATGGGATTCTTTTTTTTTGAGACAGAGTCTGTCTTGCTCTGTTGCCCAGCCTGGACTACAAAGGCACCATCTGGGCTCACTGCAACCTCGGCCTCCCGGGTTCAAGCCATTCTCTTGCCTCATCCTCCAGGGTAGCTGGGATGACAGGCACCCGCCACCACGCCCAGCTAACGTTTTGTGTTTTTAATAGAATCGGGGTTTCATCATGTTGGCCAGGCTGGTCTCGAACCGCTGACCTCGTGATCCGCCTCGGCCTCCCAAAATGCTGGGGTTACAGGCACGAATCACCACGCCCCGAGATGAGATTCTTGCGGGGAGCGGCCTGCGGGGTGAGGGCCAGGATTGGCCTCGCCGCGGGGAGCAGTCGACCCCGCGGCCCTCACGCGTCCCCCGACCCACAGCGGCGCAGCCCCGCGGTCGGATCCTGGGCGGCAGCGAGGCCGTGGCCCACGGGCGGCCCTACATGGCGTCGGTGCAGGTGAACGGCGTGCACCGGTGCGGCGGCGTCCTGGTGGCGGAGCAGTGGGTGCTGAGCGCGGCGCACTGCCTGGAGGACGCGTGAGTGTGGGCGCGCGCGCAGGGAGGAGCCCCGGGGGGAGGTGGGGCGACTCGGCTGGCACCGACCGCGGACCCCGACCGTCCCCAGGGCCAACGAGAAGGTGCAGGTGCTCCTGGGCGCGCACTCCCTGTCGCAGCCGGAGCCCTCCAAGCGCCTGTACGACGTGGTCCGCGCAGTGCCCCACCCGGACAGCCGGCCCGGCTCCATCGACCACGACCTCCTCCTGCTGCAGGTCCGCCCGGCCCCGCCTGCACTCGCGCCCCGGGTCTAGCCTCGATGTCTCCTGCCCTGCTGGGACCCCCGCCCCAGCCTCACTCCACCCCGCCTGCGCCCCCACCC